AGAGTGGAATTTATTAAAAAGCAAATAAATTTCGTCAAAATGCTATGTAAATTTTGAAACCCATTAGAAATGGTGTTAATGATTACATTGGAAGAAATACTACTAAAATTTATTTATAGAAAGTGACTTTTGGGTAGTAAAAATAGTGGAAATAAGAAGCAGAGAGCTCAATTTGGTAGAAAAGGCTTGGTATACGAGACTATAGTGAAGCAATAAAATAGAAATGATCACGTGATTTGTGGCTGGCATGAATATACCGGTGAGGCAGGTCATGTGGTGTCGCAGACCGTTAGATAACGGTTGAGCAGTCAATGAAATCACGTGATACAAAATGTAGACGAGCCAAATAAGGTAACTACTACTACACAATATATAGGTCAAAATAAAATCGTCTGCTAGCGAACTAGAGACAAAACAGCAGGTCTGCTGGAGGTGTGAATAAGACTAGTTTTACATAATTTTGAGTTTAAAAAGATATATTATGAGATGTTGACTATAGGTTCTAAATTGACTACATCAATATAGGGGGGATAAGAGAGTAATTTCTTAAATTCACAATCCTTAAGATGAAAATACAAATATTTGACATGATTATCTAGTAACTTAAAAAATAAAAGTTTGGCATCAATAAAGCGATTCATCTTAGAATGGAAATTTCTACGTTTTATAATAGTTAGGCGAATGAGTGATAATACAATATTAAGAATGTTATTTACTTTCTTTGAACTTGACAATTTGTAACTAAATAATACATAAGAATATAATTCGGACTGTGAAAAACCATTGGGCATAAATTCCGTTAATAAATTGCACACAATATCAATAAGTGGAACTACTTTAGGGCACAGAAGGAACAAATGCATTATATCTTCAATGCTATGATTATTGCAGAGTTTACAGTAAGGGCTATCTATGATGTTGAACTTGAATAGTTTCTCATTAGTAAAAATAATATTATGTGCTATCTTAAAATCATTTAAAATGCATTCATTGCTCTTAAGTTGACAAAATATGTTTGGAAATACAAGATTAAAGTTAATATGGGGATAAATATCTTTGAAATAAGTTATTGAGGTGGGGGGCTGTGCAACTTTGATTCGTAAAGCATCATAGAAAATTTTGGACGAACCATTTAAGACATTTACCTCAGAATCGTTGAAAACAAAGTATAAATCTATTTCGTCCTCCAAGGGATGGCATTCTGAATTGATAGTATCCATCCACTCTTTAGGTATTGCATTGCAAATTACATTATACTGGTTTTCAATGGCTCTGGGGTTAATGTCTAACTCATCACAAGTAAACATATCTAGAATGTAATGAAAGGGGAGTAAACCTGGTTTAACCCATAGGGTTAGGTCTGAGATTTTGGTTAATTTACATTGTATAAAAGAATTAAAATACAAGGGTTTACCATTATCTAGGATAATGGGATTATGAAAAAGAGGTTGGTTCAAAATGCTATTATAGTTATGTGGTGGAACTCTACTATTGCCATTTAACTTTTCCCATGCTGCAAGCATATTTCTATAAAAAGTAGGAATGTGAATAAAACCCTCCTTAAGCACATTCATGTAAAATACCTGTGAGCTTAAATTACAATTAAAATATAGATTAAGAAAATATTGCATTAGAGATTTCCAAATGTGTGAAAAATTGGGGTTTAAAAAGCGTTGAAGCCAGACTAACCTAAAGGCATATTGTCTTAAATGAATATCAGGGATGTTGAGTCCTCCTAATTGAGGACAATTTACAATAGTAGTAGCTTTTATCTTGGGAGGTTTGTTGCTCCATAAATATTTGGAAAAAGATGAGCTAATTTCTGAGATAGTAGGGTCCGGAATGTCAAAAACTCTTAGAACATACCATAATTTTGATGTACATAGGTTATTAATTACTATGGACTTACCAATGATGGAGAGGTGTCTCTGGCTCCATATGTTCAAGATATTTTTGATATTTTGAACCTTACTATCCCAGTTGTACTTATTGCATAGTTTTGCATTGTTACCAAGGAAAACACCTAAAATTTCTATGCAATTTGAGACTAGCTTAACATTAAGTGTGTGTGGTATAATGGAATTAATGGCTGATCCTTGGCAAAGTAGTTCGGATTTTTCCGGATTAAATTTTGTACCTGAGGCTATACAATAGTCATTTAGTTCGTAAAAAACGTTATGTACTGAATCAATGTTGGAAAGGGTTAATGTGCAGTCATCAGCGTGTTGGAAAATGAGAGATGGGGTGGAGCTAAAAGGGATGGTTATGCCTGTAATGTTGTTGGAACTTTTAATAATTGAGTTAATTGGTTGAGCTGTAAGGACATATAGGAGGGCACTAATTGGGCAACCTTGACGCGTCCCTCTTGACACAGAAAAATATGATGATAAATGGCCATTCACCTTAATACAGCTTTTAACATCATTATACAAAATATTTATATGAGAAATAAAATTAGGGCCAAAGCCATAAGAACTTAAAATTTGAAATAAAAATGAAAATTTTAATCGATCGTAGGCTTTTAAGGCATCCAATCGTAAAAGATATAATGGTATATTTTTAAAATTGGAAAAGGAGATGACATCTCTAATGGAGCAAATATTGTCTGCAATGTCTCTGCCAGGTACACATGACTGCTCAGGGGAGATAATAGAAGGTATAACTGTTCTTAATCTAAGAGCTAAAATTCTAGTGTATATTTTGTAATCAACATTTAATAATGAAATAGGCCTATAATTCTTAAGATCTCTCTTATCCCCCTTATTTTTGAAAAATAAACTAATAACACCAAATTTCATAGTTTTACTTGATATCTTATTTTGAAAAATGTTATTTAAAATATGTATATATGGGGATCCTATCACGCCCCAGAAATGAATATAGAACTCCACGGTGAGTCCGTCTGAGCCAGGTGACTTCCCACGCTTCATGCCTGTAAGAGCTCTATAAGCTTCCTGCAGCGTGATAGGGCCCTCACAGTGTAGTCTCTCAGATTCATCCAGGCGGGTACAGGTCATATTGCAAATTGATCTTTGTTTGTTAAAGATGTTATCGTCCTCTGGTTCATTGGTATATAATGCTTTGTAGTATTCTGTACACGCCTGGAGGACATCGGAGGGGCTACTTACAAGAGTATTATCCAGATTGTAAACAGAATCTATAAGGTGGTTTTCTTGTTTTTTCTTTTCAAGACCTAGAAAGTAGGATGTACATCTGTCTGTTTCGAGGGCATCTTGAGACTTAGATCTTAATATGGCTCCTTGACATTTAGTGTGCTCATATTCTGCAATTCTACTCTCTAGGTCTTGAATGAGAAGAGGGTCATACGTAGCTCCCCTGGCCGCTTTGGCCTGTTCTGTAAAAAGCGAGTTATTAAGATTCCATAAATCTTTTTTTACAATTTGGTGTTTCTTTTTTGCAAATTTTGATGTTTCCTTTTTAATAAGGTATTTAAGGGAGTCCCACCACAGGAGTGGGGCCTCCTTAAATACCTTATTATCAAGTTGGCTACTAATTACATTGTTTATAATGTTACAAAATGAAATATCTTTTAAAAGAGAACTGTTAAAAATCCAGAGGCCAGGTCCTCTTTCACTGGAATCAAGGTTTAAAATAGAGATTGCAGCATTGTGGTCTGATAAACTGGTAGGTTGAATAAAAGAATACTTGAAATAATTAATTAACGAAATGCTACAGAACATGTAATCTAAACGGCTTAATTTGAGTGAATCTTGTCTAAATTGGGATCTTGTAAAGTGTTTTGAATCAGGGTTAAAATACCTAAAGGTGTCTATAAGATTAAAATTATTAACAAAATTATTAAAACATTTGGAACTAGAGGCTACCGTTGCCATCCCAGCACCTCTATCTTTATTTGCATCAAGCACATCGTTAAAATCTCCAGCTATTATATTACTCTCATTGGCAATTAAAAAGTCAGTAGCAAAATTATTTAAAAATTGAATCCTACTTTGATAATCGTTCGGGCAATAAACAGAAAGGAAATTAATATTCTTATTACAAATGTTTGCTGAAACTTTTAGAACTCTACCTTGATTATCTTTGTCTACACTAATTATATTGGTTTTAAGTTTATCACTCACTAGGATGGCTACACCTCGGCTATTTCCTGTAAAATTGTTGCTGAAAATTGTTCCTTTCCATATGTTTTGGCAAACGTCGACTTTTTCTTGATCCCAAAATGTTTCCTGAAGAAATACTATGTCACAGTTTATTAAGACACATAAAGTTATTAAGTTCTGGATTTTTTCAACATTTCGGAGGCCATGAATATTTAAGGACAAGAGTTTCATGGTGGGGTTAAGGGAGTTAAGGGTGGATCACACAAGGGATTCAGTATCACTCTCCATAGCTTTCTTACGAGTATTTGATTTAATATTTGGTTTGATGATATTAGTTGGGAATCTTGGATTTGACCAGTTTTTTCGTGTAGATCGTTTGCTTATCAGTTTATCCACGTTTTCGATGGAGTTGATAGTTTGGGCTAAATTTTCGGCTAAGGGGGAGGGGGATCTGTTCTTCTGGGAATCAATATAGATGTCTCTTGCTAAGACTCGTGTGGCACTTTGTGATCTTTTGGGTACATCTCGAGCTCTTGGTGGTAAGCTTAAATCAGTGAAGGGACTCGTATTATTACCAGACAAAACGGTCTCTGATGGCATGGCTTCGCCGTCAGATTCTATGGACTCAATGGAATCGTCTTTAGTTTTTCCCTTTTTGTTATTATCTTTGGGGGGCGTGATGGTTTCCGAAATCGCCCGTTTTTTAGAATCTGCTGGATTGGAGCTATTAGAAGTGTCACTTGTCTTGTTCGGGGGAGATAATCGGTTAGCAAGAGCATTAATTTGTTCATTTTCAATTTGGCTTTGATCATCTTGAGAAGGGTTAACGATTTCATTATCGATAAGTTTAAGTGCGGGTTTGACATGAGTTTGGTCACTATTGACCCAGTTTTCATTATCGTTTGTTGTTACTGGATTACATGAACACTTATAATTAAATTTGGTACACTCGGGGCAGATCTCCTCTGTACAAAATTTTTTGATGTGGCCAGTATTTTTACACTTCCTACATACTGTTATGGGGCAATCCTTAATATCGTGTCCAGTCTGGAAACATTCAAAGCAAACTTTTTGCTGGTTATTATGCTTGATGGTGAAAGAGCGGCCATCAATAAAAGTAGCATACGGGAGGCTTGCAACATCTGGGGGGAATTCGCACTTTACGAAGCGGGTGCCATCGGGAATGTCTCTATCTTTAACTTTTATAGTTCTGTGTCTCACAATACCAAGAGGTTTAACGTTCCATTTTTCTAACTTGGCGAGAATTTCGCTGTCCGGGATGTAAAAGGGAATGTGCATAAAGGACACCACCATTATCTTGGCGCCGATCAAATTGTACGATAGAACTTTGTCATTCACAATGATTGGTTTATTTAATAGGTGTGATAAGCGATCAGGGCTATCAAAAGTTAACTCGATATTACCTTGTAAAGGGACAGCGGCAATTACGGCATCCTCTCCAACAATTTCCTCAATTTCACATATTAAATCCACAATATTTATTCCTTGTTGAATTTCAACGTTGATAGTATTCCTCTTCAAATGATTTGCATTTATCGTATCCATCTTCTTTGATTTTTCCATCTGAATATCACTAAGTAGTGATAATAACACAGTAAGTCATTTTCACACTTGAGTAAATCCTAGAGCGAAGTGAAATGCGACTTTCGAGCTCGGCTACTCAACCGGATCCAAGCAGACGTGATAACCACTACACCACGAAACCAGGTTACTCCAATTCGTTAAAATGTTTGCTTGTCAGCACTCTGAGAGTTGTAGGGCACAGAAATTTTCAAAAAAGTTTGATTACGACAGGAAAAATAACATCGCCCAACGTGGGGCTCGAACCCACGACCCCGAGATTAAGAGTCTCGTGCTCTACCGACTGAGCTAGCCGGGCATGTAGTACCGTTGCAAGGAATCTTGCCGCCAAAAAAAACAGATACCATTTCAGAGGTCCCGGTAAGAGATCACAAAGGACAACTGGCGCTTGTGTTAGGGCTTGTGGCGCAATGGATAACGCGCCTGACTACGGATCAGGAGATTCCAGGTTCGAATCCTGGCAAGCTCGGAAACCTTTTTCCATTTTTCGATGAAACCTGCAATTAAGACCACTGTGTCAGTTGTGTAAAGGCGCTCGTACGACCACTTACGCAATTGCGACCGCAATTCACAAGTCGTCGG